TTGACTAAAACTGCAAATTTTGATGTTTATGTCGTCACACTTTAAATCTCAAGGGGTGCTCTTGATAGAAAATTTCACGAAAAAACCAATGGCATCACTTTAAGAACCTCAAAGTTTGGTATAGACGGAGTTATAAGCGTTTAAAGTTTCCAAATTATGTCCGACCTCTCCTATTGACTCGATCCACCGTGCGGCGCGCGACTCGACTGGTCGCCAGTTAGATTGGCACACAATAAAACGTGGCCCCTCTGACGCAAGGGTTTATCTAAATTTCCACATGGGCCCTGTTTTGTATACGAATCCATGCTACCTGGGGCTCATCCGGAAATCGAGATACGCCCTTACGCCAAATGAGCGACAGAACGAGCAGCTTCACTCTCCACTCTGACCGTGTCAAGAATGATCTCCTGCCTGGCCGTTGACCCACCTCCCGAGTCTTCGCCCTTGCCTCCGGACACGCAACCCCTTCTCGGAGTTGAGGGGGAAATCGGGTCATCCCCAAATAAATGGGGCACTTGCTACGTGACGGTCCATGTCGTATGGTGGTGGGGCTTAAAAAAGAACCTATAAATTTCGGGAGGTGGTGATTAGGAGGAAGTAAATACGAAGGGTCCTCCTTCCCACTTCCGTGTTGCGGGAAGGAGTAGTAACATGAGCCGTGGTTTGTACGTGCTTTTATACACTTCGAGGCTCATTTTAGATAAGAGTTACTGGTATCTTCGTGCTATGAGGAAGAACGCCGTATAAACATTTGTGCGTTGCCAAATTTCTTTCGATAAAATACGAATTTTCAGGAAAACTTGTGAAAATGTTCTATCTGCCAAAGAATTCTCCTCGTAGTGTGATTTGAAGTATGAGAAGATTTCAAGTAGATCTTCATTGTTTGTCTCAAAAATTAATACTTTAAAAATTTAGCAACTCTCGAATGTTCACGCGGCGTATTTCCTTAAAATGATATTATGGCGGGGCAGGTTTGCTGTCATGTGACTACGAATAAGGAATGCTGTATGACACTGATACGTTCCCTCGCCTGGGAAACGATGAAATCGATGGCTAAAGTGCGAAACCACTTATCTCCATTGCGGTACTTAAAAATCTCTCATCCCATCATATTTTTTCGAGGAGAAACAAGTCAACTTTGCAGCTTAAAATTTCTACGAAATGTTCTGCTAATTGAGAAGGAAAGTCAAGGAAATTTTCAAGTAATTTTTCGAAGGAAAAAATGAGGTAACTGCAACGTAGCAAACGGAGGTACGTGGTTTCGCACGTTAGCCATCGATGTATACTCATGAGAATGAGACAATGCGCAGCCCGAAATAATATATACAAATGCGGCACAAAAATAATTTGGATAAAAGCTGTAAAAACAGGACATTTCGGGGGCAAATAAGTATAGCGATTCGTTTTTCAGTGGATGAAATTTAAATAAAAATCAGAATGTAGAATTTTTATTTAAATTTCATCCGCTGAAGAAGGATTCGGTCCTTACTTGCCCCGAAACGCACGGTTTTTTATGTGTTCTTTACACCTTTTATCCAAATTATTTTTGTGTCATTCGTGTATGCTCATGTATAGAGCGACAATGAAACTCCCAAATCACATATATCGGTTCGGAATTTTGCAGACTTGATGTCATTCATTAATTTTTTATCGGAAACTCATTCAACGTCAATTCTTAAAAACTTCCGTGATTTTTCTCCCCTGCATGAAGAATATTCTATAAAAACTGCAAGGAATGGCGTTTATTTGTCGTTCTTAGAAAACATAATATGGGAGGGGAGATTTTAAAACACCACAAACGAGAAACGTGGTTCGTTTCATCGTCGCTTTGTAACGAAATAACCAGAAAAAATTTCCCTCAATGAATAGATGACATCACTGCCTCACTTTTAAGCGATTCAATGCGTGAGCATAATCGCTTCTTCCGATCAATTCACTACCCTAACGATCTATGAATAGTTCGCCCGTTTGATCGAAGAAAAAATATCGCTATCTGTAGCATACTCCAAATGGTCCGTTTCTGTTGAAATACTTCTGGACGACATTTCAAGCGCATCTCGTTTAACTTTTGGGTACTTATTAATGAAGAAACAGTTTTTATACGTCGTTTTATTTCAACGTTTTTTACGTCGATTAATCGATTACTCGGTTGTGAGGTTATGAAGAATCTAAAAAGAACTCAGCTAATCTAAGACGTATTAATTTTCGCTCTCACGGTGTTGCCATATTTCAACTCGCCTCCGGTCGATTTAATTTAATTGATAAACTATTCGAGGGAACATTAAAAAGCTTTCTCGTCCGGCACCCGAGGGCCAGAGATGTCAGCTTGTTTAATCTTTCGACGCTACTGACCCTTTTCCCATGGATAGACACAAATGGACGTATTTAAACCCTATGATTGTAGCTTGTTTTAGCATAACTACGTCCAAATGTTATTATTTTTGGCCAGGTAATCCAAGCGTATTGATCAGCACACCACTCATACTCCTACCAATTTGACATCGTGCACCCTACGTGCTTTGTTTTCGATCCTTTTGAAAAAGACGAAATTACCCTGTCGATGCGTTGGAAGAGGGATACAATCCTGTAGTTCTCCCCGAAAATTTTCAGTCAAACTAATCGAGCCATGTTGCTTTACCGGGAGTCGCGGCGTTTAATTCCCTAACAGTGGCGTGGCGTGAATTGCGATATACCGATCGTTATGCCATTTAAACCTATGAAAGAAGATCGATTATCAGGGTGTTCGCAGCGAACACCTTAGTAATCGATTCTTTACCATAGCTTCAAATGGCGAGATATCGANATTTTACAGCATTTCTCCGAGCGACGAATTTTGCCGCGTCAAAATGTATCGGTTGCTCCCATCGAAACAGGCGCAAGGCATACAAGGCACCGGCGGGAATTCGGACCAATAAGCGTTAATTGAGCAGGGTGAGTTCGGCCACTTGAGGACGGAGGGATGAGCGAAGAATTAATTAAATTAGTCCGGAAAAAGGGAGGGGTTCGGGCGGGGGATAGAGACATAGGTAGCCTTGAAACCGATTTGATTGATGGCGTCGATCGTTTTCAGCGGTAGAAAAGGTGGGAATTCGGTTGGGACACCGGTCAAATTGTAATGTACTCCCATTGCACTTCACGCTGGGTAAATGAACGAGACGGAGTAAGGGGTTTGCAGCAAATATTATTGTCGTAACTGCGAATGGAGACAAATTTCCAGTGAATGATTATTTTTTTCCAGTTCATTAAGGGAGCACGTCATAGGCGGATCAAAGGGGGCGCACCCCCCTCCCTGCCACCCGTTTGCCCGAAACAGAGGAAGAGGAAGAAGGGAATAAGGAAGAAAGAAGGAATGGAACGGAGGAAAGGAGAAGGAAGTGCGCTTATATTTGGTAATTATTCATGACCAAATTGACTCAAACTACATATTAGATGCTTTAAAATTTTGAAAATTTTTGGGGGGAGCCTCCTGGACCCCCTTATGCCACCTCGATCGAAGTGTCTGGACCCCTCTATGAGGCACGATGGTTCAAAATCAACCCGCCTCTATTCTCTGAGAAAATGACGAGAAGCGGTTCGTTAGTTTACTTTTAAAAAATATAACTTGAGCACGGACTTGCAACGTCGCAAGCTTGGGTACGCATTATTCAACTTTCACTGTCGATACATCGATTTGACAGTGTAACTTTTTACCAATCAAATATGACCGAGTCTATGGAAAGTTGAAAACTTCAGCAATCGGCGACGCCGCATTTTGGTATCAATCAAATGTAAACAAGTTCGCCTTCAATTGAAAAAGTAGGCAAACGCGCACAACCAGGAGCAGCAACAGTAGTATTCTAATGATGTGGAGATTCCGGCTTACAGCCACTCGATATTTTGATACCACTATTGCTGCTCCTGAGAGCTCGCTTTTGCCTATACTCTACATTGAAGGCGAACTCGTTTACTTTTAGGTATTTGTAAGTTGTGCAGTTCTTCACTCCTTAAGCATTTGTTTTTTTCTTTACTGAGAAATGACTTTAACTAGATAAATCGAACGTAAACTTATACATTTCTCAAGGAAATTCCTCATTGATGTTTAGTAAAGGCAAAGTATTTTCAAGAAATATCTCAACCTTCATCGGAAGAACTCTGGGCGGCCAGTTGACCAAAATTTTACGAGGCTCCCTAATATAATATCAGAGATTTTGCGAAAAAACTTTTGCACTGGATCAGTAGGCAAAGCCGCATTTAAGTATTCTTATACGTGTATCGAAACGAGAATTGCAGCTAAAGCACGATTTATGTAACAAAAGTTACTGAAATCAACTCCTTACTGAGATATTAACGTTTTCATTTTACACTCGTTACGGTAAAAGCAATTTGCGCGGAAAAATCTCGGAACACTGAAATGTGTTTACGTTCTCTCTCGAAGGAAACAACGATTCATGAACATTCTTCACAATCTTGGTTTGATATTGGAATTCGAAGAATCGCAGCAGCGTCTTTCTAGAGTTTTTTGTGATAAAGGATTGGCTGCCCTTTTTGGCCCTCAGAGCCCACTTTTATTCTTATTTATTTATATATTTATCTATTTATTTATTTGCTATCACTATCTATCAATAAAGGTCCTAGACCTTTACTTCACTTTCACGTATCAATTTTCTTACCAATTTTTGTAGGTAAAAGACTCATAAGGTCTGAAAATGTGTTGTAATCTACTTCATTTTAATTACAAATTTTAAAAAAACATATTTCTAGTGTTTTTCGTGACAGAAAGTTGGCTGCCCTTTTGGGCCCTAAGAGCCCAAATTTTGACTTGTCCACATAGGTTAACATTAAACGTACCCTTCTTTCCCTAAGGGTTCGTCAAAATTTTGAGGGTGTCGAAAACCACCCACGCCGCATGAGGTGCAGCAGGGGGGGGAGGGACCTGCGCGGCCGATCGGGGGTTGANGGGGGGGGGGGGGTGCTGCGTTGCTCCGGCGTGCTGCCTGGCGGGTGCGGCGAGTGTTGCGGCGTCGGTGTGATCGCACTATCGCGTTGCGGGCCGAATTGTCGCCAAGTGTCCTTTCGGGCTTCCGCGGAGTGTCGTCCCGAGTCCCTGCATCCCTGCCTGCCCCCGCCCGCCTCGGCGAACCCGCTCCGGCCCTTCGGCGAGGTAAGCTCTTCATGCAACAGTTACGTCACTCACATTAAGGTTTTGAACACCGTAAAAAATTCAAAAATAAAGAAAATTTCTTATAGATCCCATTTACAGGAACATAAACCTTTGTCAATGGAAGGGATCGGCGCTTGCCAAAGGGTTATCGTACCCAGTGAAACATTTTGAAAATAAAAAAAAATTGTTTAGAAAGTCCCATCTACAGGAAAAAGTCTAAAATAAATAAAACATTTTATAAATTCCATCTACAGGAACATAAACCTTTGCCAATGGAAGAGATCGGCGCCTGCCGACGGGTTATCGTATTCAGTGAAACATTTTGAAAGTGAAAAAAAATTGTTTAAAAAGTTCAATCTACAGGAAAAAAGGCTTTAGTCTATGAAAGAGATTTTTCAAAAACCTGGAGAAGTGTCGTATTGAATTTGGACCCAGAAAATTGGTCGCATTTATTATCTAACTCTTTACATTTTCTCACTGTCTTCAATTTTCAATGAGAGACCGTCAATAAATCATGCGTTAAGTAACCCCGCAAAAATTTTTCGCCCTATGAAAATCTCATCCACAGGAAGAGAGGCCTTCATCTATAAAAACATATTTTTCCAAAACTTTTGAAAAAGTATCCAACGTAATTCGGACCCAAAAAATTGTTGAAATTATTTCTCTAGCCCTTTAAATTTTCACTTTTTCTTCAATTTTCAACGAAAGGCTGCCTACAAATCACGTTATAATTAACCCCGCAAAAAACGTATCAATATATAAAAATAAAAATAGCCAAAAATTGCATCTACAGGAAAAGAGACCTTAGTCCATGGAAGACATTTTTTCCAAAAATCTGCAAAAGTTTCTAACATGATTTTGACCTAGAAAATCATTGGCATTTATCCTCTATAACGCTTCAAATTTTCTCGATTTTCTTCAATTTGTAATGAGAGGTTGTTTATTTAGTGCGTTGAGAAAAACATAAGAAGGAGGGACGACTCGGGCTTCCTGCAGGCAGATTTCTCAAAAAATGATAGGAGAAGAATATGGAACCTGTTGCAGTGAAAATAGGTCAGAAAATCGTTAAAAGAAAGAAGAAGAGGAAAAAAGGATATTTAAAGGAAAGTAGGCCTTGGTCGGTGAAGGACCTTTCTCAAAAAAATCTTAAAAAGTATCTGGTGCTATTAGTAGCTTGAAAAGTGACAGTGCTAAAAACGCCAATGCCCATTTTCGAGCTCTTAGTTTTTTTTTTTTTTTTTTTTTTTTTTTTTTTTTTTTTTTTAATTTATTATTCACTTAGTATTATAATACTTATCAAGAATCGATACAATCATGGAAGTGGTGGAATGGCCCTTTTTGGGATTTAAGTGGCCCTTAAATTAGTTTTTTCTCCATATTTTGAGAAGTATAATCAACTTAGAAGCGTAAATAAACGAATGCCTCTCATCAAAAAGTTAGGAGAGTGTGAGAATTCAGGTGGTGAGGGAATGAACGGCAACAATTTTCAGCCTAATGCACTCAGGTCTTGATAAAAATGAAACAGTTAGAGGGAATATTCCGTGGGGCAGGCGAGTATCATTTCAAGAGATCTATTCTTCATAGAGGCGCGGTAAACAAGCGACACCAGTCGCCGGGAAATGCAAGCGGGGCTGGTGTTGGAAATTTCAACGAGCATGAAAAAAGAACAGCCCTTAGCAGCTGCTCACTAACTGGAAATTAATGTGGAGGAGTTGAGCGTTATTACGTTGTTGTCCAATCTCACTTCATCGTCCCCCCTTTTTTGCCACGATATCTTCCGGACATCGATTTGGGAAAATTAACCAATTTTCTTGAGGAGGAAAAGCCCTGTAAATGGAGGTTATCACGGCAATATTTTAAAAATATTGTCAAAATCGTCAGAATGTTATTGGCCGCAATTATATCGCAAAAGAAATGATTTCTGAAAGCTTGTTGAAAAAATTATAGACTCTGCATATTTCTGACGCTATTATCTAGGAGTTTCCCAAATTTTTGTTGAAGATTAAGCTTAAATGGAACTAAAGGCACGTTATTATTCGCCGGATACATTACACTATATCGTGTTCAAGTTAAATAATTTGTACCTAATATGAAAAATTATCCTCGAAATATTTTTAAAAAATACGAGTACACTAATTTTATCAATAATATTTTTATTATTTTCTTCCAAAATTTTTCCTTTCTTTTAAATTGAGAAGGAAAAGTAGATATACCTACTAAGGGTCGTTTATTTTCTTTATCAGCTGGCCACATGCGTGAAGGTATAAAATGTAAAAACGCCATCAATCAATTAACATTTACGGTCGGTTATAGTTGCTGATATTCGTATTTATTCAACTAACTAACTATCTATTACGCAATAATGTATTGAAGACTCTGTGCAGATTATATTCGGTTTACTAATATGTGCTCTAAATATTGACTCAATATATTAGCTTCGCGTTGTCATAGTTTTTATACTTGTTTTTAAAATTATCGATCGAAGGTAAATGAAATACTACACTCCGAAGAGTATTGGTTAGTTCCCGTTAGTTTTCGCAATCAATCCAAAGAAGCTATAATTTATCAAACAATATTAACTGGAAACAACCTAACTTCGCGTTGCTTAATTTTGTACTTTGTTCTTCAATAAAAAAAACCGCGCAACATTTTGGCTGAAAGAGTTGTGTTCAAATTTTAATGCAAAGGTATAAAAAGTTGCATGTGGATTATTTTTCATAAATAAAAAATGAAATTTGAGTTGAAATGAGGCAACAGGAAATGCGATCGATTTTGGTTAATGTCGTCCAATTGCTCGTTTCATTTGTCCGTACGACAAGTTGCAGCAATTAATCACTCGATCGGAGCCAATACCTAGAGATGCACCATGCTGTGTGCTGGTCGGACTTCACAACAGGAGGGCAAGAGAGACCAAAACGCCTTCAATTTTTCGGGTATGCAATACGGACATCCATCAAGCACGAATAGTTGCATCAAGGCATTGACATACACGCCGCGTCGCAAAGCACCGCGTCGTGCCTTTATGGGGCAAACTTTATTATAGTTTTAACGTGTAAAAAAAACGCTACACGTACATTCCAACTTGCTTTTTTAAGACACAACTTTAGTGCTTATTTACGTTACGTAGTTAATTGTTTATATGAATGTGTCCAATTTGAATAAAATATCTTTAATTACTTAAAGATATAAAAGAAAAATAACAACCAAACCTTAAGAAAAATGTTTTTAATTACACCATCTGTAATCCTGGGTAACAATCTATTCTGGCCAATTGATATAAACAAAGACGTAATTTATATTTCAATTACAGAAAACTTAAATCTAGTGATCTTAATTTGAATTATTATGACTATAGTTGAAACTGATAATAGATTTAAAATAACTGACGGTAATAATACAATTAAGCAAATACTAAGATATATGTGATTTATCAAAAAATTAAAGTTACTGAAAAAAGGAATATTTATAAGACACATAATTATGATTATAAAAAAAAAAACAGGAAAAGGAATAGTGCTAAAAGAAATAAAAGCTACCATGAAAATAATATCAATTCTTCACTTTTCAAAATCCTGTCTGACTAAAAGTGCGTTTAGAAAAAGGAGTAGCTTTTCGTTTTTTATTTTCTCTTATCCTCTTTCATTCTTCCTCCGTTCATTCTTCTTCTTCCTTTTCATATTTTTCTTACGTCTATAAGAGGATCAGAGTATGCCATATTTTAAAGACGACATCGGGGTGGTTGAGGCATCCTGCGAATGAAGAAGATTGGTAGAATTTTACAAAAAATTGAGACGGAGGTTATTTTGAAAACACGTCTCAAAGTAAACTTTACGAACGTAATAAAAGCAAACAAAAAAAGGTTCGTATTTGAGTTTTTAGCTCGGAGAAGTTCGGTTTAAACTTTAAATGACTCGTCAGATTCAATGTAGTTTTTCAACCTTCAACGAGGATGACAAGGCTTTCTATCCCTGCAAGAGGAGCAAGAGAGCAAACTTGTTTTTCTGGAGACTAAAAAACCGTGATCACCTCCTTCGTTCGGCGGAAACTTCAATTATCTCACAATCGGGGAGAAAATAATTATTTTCTAACGAAACAACGCAACGATCCTCTCCTTGAAGAAAATACAAATTCAGTGAAATGGTTAAGCTGCCATTTAAGATGTAAAGGTCACGTCAGTGCCCCTGCCCCTCGCACCATCTCCATTCATAATTACTCTTCTCAGAAATCTGCATCTAGGCGCTTGATTGAGAAAGTGAGCACTTTGAGGCCCCTCACAACACAGGAAGGGGTAGATTTACGAAAATTACCCTTCACGGAGGAACCTTCGACGCTGAGACGGATGTATTTATGCTGAAAGAAACTATCTCTAAATGAATGAAGTCAATATGAACTATATCTGCACGGGGTTTGCGTGCTACATAGCTCCTTTTTATTTTATCCATGTTTGCATTAATGTCTTTTCTCATTGATACATTCAAATAATCAACCCTCTCTCCTCCTAAAAGAGCGTTCCCAGCAAGGTTCCTGGAAGTTAAACCTCTCATAGCCTCTCGTATGCTTAAAGACTCGCCCTCAGATTTGAAATTTGATGTTGTCGTGGTATCATCTCAATTTGACTACATTTTGCAATTCTGAACTATAATTTAGGGATTATTTTAGAAACGAAACAAAACATGTACCATCAGTTTCCACATGCAGATAGGTGGATTTATAAATGCAAACCTCAAATGGTGGCTCCCTATTGCAAAGTGTAGTCCAATTGTGCGCCCAAATCTGTCGATGACAATCCTGTAAGGTGAACAATATTTTGGTTTGTTAGTATAAGGTTCACCTGATCCCTCTATGAAAGCGAAATAAAGGAACGTTGCTAAAAATATCTTAATAAAACGGAATAATCGGACGGCGTGGGTATTGATTCTTTGAGTTTCCTCCGTTACTCAGATACTTCATACTCTTGTCCAAAATGTTGCGAAATTCCCGAGATTATCCTGCTTGAAATG